CGGTAAAATGTCAACAGCAAATCAGTTCGCCGTGTCAGTATGAGTTGAACCAAGAGAAATCGTTGGCAGTAGGAGGAAGGTCAGAGGTTGGGAAGGAGATCTGGATGCTGGCACTCATAAAGGAAGATCTCTGTTGGACAGGGAAAGAACCACAGCCTGGGCTGAATGGGCTGTGAGCGGTTGAATGTCTCGACCTCGCTTCACGACAGGATGTCGATGCAGAAAGTCTCCATATCGCGGTCACATCAGATGACATAGTAAAAACTCAACTGAAGACAAGGAAGGTTTGGAAATGCTTGAGATCAACCACATCAAGCATCACGACTGCAGATCACCAAATACGCAGGTACACGTCGGAAATTCAAAAAATATGCAGGGACTGAAATGCAGGAACAGCAGGCTACATCAGAATTGCGTGTTCATATCACGTCGGAAGGTCATCAATATCGCAGGGGGTTAAGTAAGTTAAATCCTGGCAACTGCGATCTTCACACAATGGTTACTTAGTAGAAGAGAAGTCAATGGAGGCCAGAATACTAGGAATAGTTTTTTATGTACACAAAGGAACGAAGAATAGATGGAAAGAGTTTTGACCTCGGAGTACATGTCATTCCGCTGGAGTGCCGTGGTCCTAAATCATGTCTGGCGGCCGAGGGTGAGGAAGAAGGGACGTGTTCGAGTGGTGCTTGGGCAGCCGCGTGAACCTTGACGCACGTGTGTGTGTCCAAGTGGAAGTAGGTCAAGTCTCTGTAGGTCAGCGCGTCTGTAAGCGCTGACTGAGGTATTGGATGACCCTGAGGCAGCTGGCCTTGAACAGTGACGCCGGACAAAGCAATGGAGGGCGTCGAACGGCAGAGACCACTACATACCAGTAAGGAGTATAATACGTTTATAGGGCGTATGTATTTATCACTGCACACAAGTAAACCTTTAAATCTGATAACAATTATTATGAGATAAAGTACTTCAGTATTCATGCACAATTAGGTGCACGCCTTAGACCCATGCGGATAAGAAGTATTTTTCGCCCTCTTCGGAATGCACTTATTTTTAATACGATGGGGCTTACATGCCTATAAGTCATTGCAAGTACTCCTATTCTGGATCAACCAATGTTTTCCTCTTTGACCTGACCGTGATGACAGGGCACCAAATTGAAAGCCGCTGGTAAACGGGTTTTATCAAATTGATCTTAATAATTTGAATTCAACCGTTGATGCTAATACCCTAAAAAGTAGACAAGGGTCAAAAACACGTCAAACACCAACGAAGAAATAAAATTATCTGCAATTTTCACGACCTTCAAATGAGCTGCAAACAACCTGAGAGAAATACGTTAGTGCATGCCCTAGCTACTCCCAAATATAATGGATTCAATTTTTAACGCGTGCTCCACAGAGAGTCTTCAAGGTAGTGTGGTGGGGCAGTTAATTATGTAGCATGCCGCAGCCATTTTGACGCTGCCCATTGACTTATAACCAACATACGATGTGGGCCATTTAGCAAGTACCTAGGCTGTTAGTATGGTAAGTTACAACGTCGATTTGGGTCCTCTCATGCTTCCCAGGTTTTGAGAAGAAGACGACGCCATCCATA